TATGGGGCTGGCACCCTACTCCTTGAGCTACAGGCACTACCCTATTTTGCTTTTGAAGTCCTTTAAAGGTTCTGTGACGTACACAAAATTTGCTGTTTTCAGAAATAATCCCAGTTTGCCCACATGGAACAAGAACAGCTGCTTGGTCAGTGGCTTTCCACTTGAGAAATCTACCTTTACCTTCTAACCTTGCAGTACCCCAGTGAGTAATAATTCTACAAAGCAGGGACCAAAATCAAAATAGGTGGAATAGTGAGTTCTAAAAGGGGAATGTACCTTTTCTCTTAATTTTTCTCAATCTAAAGGTGCCAGTGAGACTAGTCTTAAAAGTCCGCAATACCTAGAAAGGGCTAATGCTGTCAGTCTTAAACCTAACACGTAGCTGAAAAACACCTTGGGGACAAGGTTTTGAAGGTAATCGTGATTAAGGAGAGTTTGGACATTGGGCATGGGGGTATCCAATGGTATGACATTTTCTTTAATGATTCCTGTAAATTGGGTATGCCTTTTTATATATGGCTCTTCAGCAAAATTCATATAAGAATTGGTGTATCTGGTGAAAATTGATTTAAACTACTACAAAGCACCAATTTACCTTCTACAAACCTAAGAACTAAAAGTGGTTTTCTCTGAGATGACTTATTAACATGGTGCTTGACAACCTGAAAAGTCAGTATTACCTCCTGCCTGAAGCATTCTGAAAACTCCCAAGTTATATTCCCTTAGTATACTTCCTAGCACAGTACTTGGCACATGATAAGCATTCAGGATTTATTTGTTGAAGATACTCTATAAGTCAACTTAAAAGAATTAATTTCAGAATATCTAGTGCTCTTACCCCAGCAATGTCTGTAATCACTTCCTCCGTGATCTCTTTTCCCCCTGTTAATCGAGTAGCACTCTGAAGAAATGTAATGGCTTTTCTTAAGTCTCCTTCTGACACTTTAACAAGATAAGCTATTCCCTGAAGAGAGAAGAGTTTTTTTAACCTATGATAGCTAATTAAGGCTATGTGACTTTAATAAAGAAAAATGAAAATACTGTTCTGGCCTAGAGTTAATAAAAACATTTGTTTTGGGGAGCATATTATTAGTATAGTGGCAAAATTAATTAATGGAGAGAGAAGTAGTCTAATAGATCTCTTGCCTCTGAAAGAAACTTGCAGAGAGAAAAAGATGTTCCATATTGCTCATCCTGTTTTTTTGATCGATCACAAAGCAAGCAATGAAAATTCCAATTATGATTAAATTCTGTCAGAACGAATAAGGTTCCCATATATTTTATCAGTTGAAGTGGAGTATTAGCTGAGAGACTAAATAAAATCTTGTAGGGATTTGTGGTTGTATGTATGAAATACACCACAGATGTGACTCCCTGAAATCCTGACAAGCTATAATAAAAAAAAAATCAGAAAAGCTAAACCTTGTAATTCCTAGATAGTCCAACTGTTTGGAGAAATTTACCAGGACCTCTTCACATGGGTTCATAAGAAGAATTAGTAATTATAACTAATGATAAGAATCAGTAATTACCTCACTGCTAATTTTGACATTTTCTTTCTCAGTAATGTTTAATAATCGCTGCTGTTGAATTTTATCTGACAGAGGCTTAAAGCGGAATTTTGAACATCTAGAGGTCAGGGGCTCAATTATTCTGCAAAAGATTGGAAAAAAACATGTCAGTGTCTAAATAAAATTTCCCCAAAACTATGAACAAATCAAGATTTGATAGAGAAGAAATTAACAGCCTTGAAAATTTTAAATTTTTCCTCTAATTGGCCTTACCAAAACGAGGCTGCCTAGTATGTCTTTTCAGAGTAATATACGTACCGACTGACATAGTTGCAAATGAGACAGAATCGGGTGGTTTTAGACTCTTTCTCCATGGTACGTCTTAAAGCTGCTTGAGCAGCTGAGGTCATAGAATCTGCTTCATCTAGAATCACAATCTTAAAAGGAGGACACAGCTTCCCACTGATTTGGAGAAATGTAAGAGTTAAAAATTAGTATATGCCCATTGTTTTAAAAAGTTTTACTGACACATAAGCATTCCATACAAGTCACCAATTTAAAATGTATAATTCAATGTTTTTGGTTATATTCAGAGTTGTGCATCATCACCACAATCTAATTTTAGAACATTCTCACCCCTCCCGCTAAGAAAACCCCCCAAAGCCCCAGTGCTCCCAGCTCTAGGCAACCTCTAGTCTACTTTGTGTCTCTTTAGATCTGCCTACTCTGGACATTTCATATAAATGGAATCATGTGTTTTGGGGACTGGCTTCTTTTATTTAGCATAATGTTCTCAATGTCCATCCATGGTGTATGTGTTTGCTTCATTCCTTTCTATTGTCAAATAATATTTTATTTTTTCATTAATCAATTGAACATTTGGGTTGTTTACATGTTTCGGCTATTAGGAACAACACTACTATGTGTATTTGTTTACATGTTTTTGAGCAGACATGTTTTCCAAGAGGCTGCATCATTTTACATTCCAACCAGCATTGCTGGTAACTTGTTATTTTGTCTTTTTGATTATGGACATCCTAGTAATGGAAAGTGGTATCTCATCATGGTTCATTTCCCTAATGGCTAATGCTGATGAGCATCTTTTCATGTACTTACTGGCCATATGTATGTGTTCGTTGGAGAAATGTCTATTCAAGTCCTTTGCTCAGTTTTTATTTGTTTTTATTACTGAGTTTTAGAAGTTCTTTACATATTCTGGATTTAAGTATAGCTTTTCAAATATATGATTTATAAATACATATGTTCTCTAATTTTGTGGGTTTTTACTTTCTACCCAACTGATTTTTGGTAATCTCCCATTACCCCCACCAAAAATGGCATTAACACAACTTTATACCAAAAAAACAGATTTCAAATATTCAAGGTAGAAGGGAACTCAGAGGTGTTTTAGTTTATATCCTCATCTTCATTTCACATAGAAACTAGGTGCTTTAGAGGTTGTGATTACACCATCAATTCCAGGTGCATACAAAATTAGGCATTCACTTTCTATAAATTTTGAAGTATGCCCCGAAGTAAAATTTATATATGTATAGGTGCCAAAAACTTCATCTTGGACTTCAGCCACCTAACAAGTGTAAAAACTTGACTAACCCATACTTACTTCAGGCAGAACAGTCCTATTTTTATTATATCTTCTTTAACTCCAGGAGTGTCCCCATTTGGACAGGTACTTAAATGATCCCCCTATCTATGAAATATACACTGAAGCGTTACATATCTGATAGAAAGGAGAATTTGTTTTCTAATACAATTTCAAAAATCAGGATTTTTATTATGACTGCATACTGACAAACTATGAAATGTGATTTATAAGTACGCAGTAGACAAAGTCTCAGCAAAAACCCTTGACAGATAACTTAAAAATTGTTATCATTTCTGGTCTTAAATAATGTAGATAAAAATTTGACCTAATATGAAAAAGTAGTTGAAAATTTGGCAGAAACTTCCATTTAAAACAAACACAATGACATAAAGAAGAGAAGGCAAGTTTACTTACTCTGAACGACTTCCTGACACAGTTAATTGAGCAAAATTTTTCACTTTTTCTCGAATTACTTGTATTCCACGTTCATCAGATGCATTTAACTCAAGAACTCTTAACCGAAAAAGTTCAGGCCTATGTCAAAATAAAAAAAAAAAAAAAAAAAAAAAACAGAACCTAGGCTCAAATCACATTTTAACATCTACACACTTTGTAGTAATTTAAAAGCTATAGTAAGCAACATGGATAGAAGGCACACAATCACTTCTGTATTCTCTTTTTGCAGAGCTATGTGGTGAACATTTTGGCTTTCTGGCCAGCCGCACTGGCTCATGCCTGTCATCTTAGCACTCCAGGAGGCCGAGGCCAGTGGTTTGCTTGATCTTAGGAGTTCAAAACCAGCCTGAGCAAGAGCAAGACCCATGTCTACTAAAAACAGAAAAACTAGCCAGACATTGTGGCAGGTGCCTTTGGTCCCAGCTACTCAGAAAGCTGAGGCAAGAGGATCAGTTGAACCCAAGAGTTTGAGGTTGCTGTGAGCTATGATGCCACAACACTCAACTCAGGGTGACAAAAGAGACTGTCTCAAAAAAAAAAAAAATTACTAAAAGTATTATAATGCTAATTTAGTAGAGAAATTTGAGGAATAAAAAAAATAACTGGCATACATGTCAATCCACTGTTTTAAAACTTTTCTGTAGGGCAGCACCTGTGGCTCAGTGAGTAGGGCTCCAGCCCCATATACTGAGGGTGGCAGGTTCAAACCTGGCCCTGGGCAAACTGCAAAACAAAAAATAGCTGGGCGTTGTGGCGGGCATCTGTAGTCCCAGTTACTCGGGAGGCTGAGGCAAGAGAATCTTGGCCTAAGCCCAAGAGCTGGAGGTTGCTGTGATACCACAGCACTCTACCAAGGGCGACAGAATGAGACTCTGTGTCTAAAAGAAAAAAAAAAAAAAAGAACTTTTCTCTGGTTTTTGAATTTATATATATGATATATACCTATATATGTGTATATATATATCTTTTAAATAAAAAAACAATAGTTGTGATTTAGTTTGGTCTTTATTTTTCCTAATCTGAATTATATCCTAAGCATTTTTTAATGGTCATAACTATTTAGAAAGCTCAAATACTGTATTTTCTATTTTAAAAACACATCTATTATTAAAAATGAAATTTACTGCTAAAGTAAGTTCTTTTAGTTCTCTAAGAACAAACATTATAAAAGATATAATCTAGACTGACCCACTCCTGGATACATAGTAATAAATGATGTAACAGTTTCATTATGATTATATTGCTAAGGCTGATTCAGCTTAGTTCTATCTGATTGAGCTGTGGAATAATCAAAGAAACCCTTTTGTAATTTTCTTGAAAAACCAAACTTCTTGTCAAATAAATATAGGTTTACAGCAACTTCTCCCTTTGTCTTCAAGTGATCCTCTTGCCTTGGCCCTCCCGAGTAGGTGGGCCTACAGGTGCCCACTACCATGCCCAGCTAGTTTTTCTATTTTTAGTAGAGATGGAGTCTCACTCTTGCTCAGGCCAGTCTTGAACTCCTGAGCTCAAGCTATCCACTGATCCCGGCCTCCCAGAGTGCTAGGATTACAAGTGTAAAGCCACTGTGCCTATCCACCTTTTACATTTTGACATAACTATATATTCACATTTGGTGGCTTACGAGGAATCTATTTTCATATGTAGGATTTCAGATATTCCCTTTGGTTATATGTCTGATATAAAGATTCTGGGTAAATTCAAGATAGCCTGTGTTAACCTGGTACATGTTTCACATAATTAGACCAAGGCACTATGTATTTATATATATTTTTCTTTTTTTGAGACAGAGTCTCACTCTGTCACCCTCAGTAGAGTGTCATGGCATCATAGCTCACAGCAACCTCAAACTCCTGGTTCAAGTGATCCTCCTGCCTCAACCTCCCAAGTAACTGGAACTACAGGCATTCGTCACAATGCCTGGCTAGTTTTTCTATTTGTATTAGAGATGGGAATCTTGCTCTTACTCAGGCTGGTCTCAAACTTCTGAGCTCTAGGGATGCTCCCTCCTTTGCCTCCCAGAGTGGTGGGATTACTAAAGGCATGATCTACCTTGCCAGCTGCTATGGAATTTTTTTTTTTTTTTGAGACAGAGTCTCATTATGTTGCCCTGGGTAGAGTACCATGACATCACAGCTCACAGCAACCTCAAACTCTTGAGCTTAAGCAATTCTCTTGCCTCAGCCTCTCAAGTAGCTGGGACTACTAGTACCTGCCACAACGCCTGGCTATTTTTTTGGTTGCAGTTATCATTGTTGTTTGGCAGGCCCAGGCTGGGTTCAAACCCACCAGCCCTGGTGTTATGAGGCTAGTGCCTGAGCTGCTCAGCTACAGGTGCCGAGCCTATGGGATTAATTTTAAAAATAGAGAAATTAGGACAGGCGAGGTGGCTCTTGCCTGTAATTCTACAACTCTGGGAGGCTGAGATGGGATAAAAAATAGCTTGAGCTCATGAGTTTGAGATCAGCTTGAGTAAAAGCAAGAAATCGTCTCTATTAAAAATATAAAAACTGGGCTCAGCACCCCTAGCACAGTGGTTATGGTACCAGCCACATACACTAACTAAGGCTGGTGGGTTTGAACCCAGCCGGGCCAGCTAAACAACAATTACAACGGCAACAAAAAATAGCCAGGTATTGTGGCAGGCACCTGTAGTCCCAGCTACTTGGGAGGCTGAGGCAAGAGAATCGCTTAAGCCCAAGAATTTGAGGTTGCTGTAAGCTGTGATGCCACAGCACTCTACTGAGGGCAACATAGTGAGACTCTGTCTCAAAAAAAGAAAAGAAAAACTGAAGCAAGAAGACCATTTGAATCCAACAGATGGAGGAGGTTGTTGTGAACTATAATGCCCTGGCACTCTACCCAGGGCAATAGCTTGAGAAAAACAAACAAACAAACAAACAAACAAACAAAAAAAAAACCCCAGAAATTAATAGACACTTAACAAACCCACAGAGAAACCAAATGAAATTTATAGAGGAAAAAGAAACAGCATCTAAAAGAGATAGAGTGATTTTTAACTTACCCAAAAAGTTCTCTAGCAGCTGCTAAAATAGTAGAGGTTTTTCCAGTTCCAGGTGGCCCATAAAACAAGAGATTAGGGAGCTGTAGAAATTTAATTTAATAAATTGTATTTTGACACAAAATGATGAAAGTGATGACTGAAAGACATGTGAAACAGTGCAATGACTTCCCTAACAAAGAGGGTACATATGTCTAACTATGAAGATTTCTGAATATTTAACTGATACCATAGACTACTGACACTTTTAAATCCTGCCTTTTCACATACTATTGCTTTTCCCAAAAATACCTTCCTGATTTTGTAAACTGAATCAATATTTATGCTTGCTCTATAGCAATCTACTTAGATGAAATTTTTCAAAGCTGCAATCAGAAACCTCTTATTTCTGAAGGGAATCTCAGGCTTCTGTCAGATCACCATCCTACCCCTTTATTCAAAATTGGTTGAGATTTTATATTATATATATTATATAAAGATGTCGGCTGCTTCAAAGAGGAAATATCCCAAAGGAATAATGGCATCTGGCCAATACTGAGGAAAAAGGACCAAAAAAGACATTACATGCATTAGGGCTTTGGATAAGCTCAAGTTCCAAGAACAGAAATGTTAACAAAAAAACAAAACTACACATTACTAAAGTGCTAGGCACTGTTCCACATCATGATTATGTATCCTGAAGGGATGCCTGCATGCAACAGGGAAAATTCATTCAGAGAACAAAGGATAAGATTAAACAACTAGCTATCTTCTTTTATACTTTGGATCTAGCTAGTCTGGCTCCTATCAAGCAAGTAACTGATCTGTGGTGAAGACTGATAAACGTGCTACATTCTACTGACCTCTTATGAAACTACATTCTCCAATTGTCTTTTCATGTAGAGAAATCACTGCACACAGGGAACTAGGTGCAACAGAGTTTGCTTGCTTCCACTCTTGCCTTGCCTTTCTCCTTCCCTCAAATCAGATGCCACCTCTCTTGTTACTTAAAACGATTCACTGCCTTCACACTCTACTTAGAAAAACAAAAACAAATTTAAAAAACCCAAGCTGGTTACTATGGCCTGTAAGAACTTCTGCAATCTCCCCACTGCATTCTTCATCTTCCAGGCTCCAGCTGATCAGGGTCTCTAACATAAATTCTTCCTATGACCTAGAGCTGCATGCCCTTCTTTTTCTGCGTGGCTACCTCCTGATGCATTATAAGCCAGATACCTTCCCTAACCATCCAATGTACATGTGTTTTCCTCTCAAGCTCTCTCATTAGTCTTTGTTGCACTTTGCATTTATTATCATTTATGTAACTGTTGGATTTAATTATAAAATGCCTGTCTACCTCACTAAATAGTAAGATTTAAAAGACCAAGAACTTTATTTGTCGTATTTCCATCTGTATCCTCAGCATCTACTATAGTACTATTTGCCGAATAAATGAATAAACCAATACACAAATATGTTGATTAAAAGATTATTGCTGTTGTAATAATACATAGCTTAAGATATAAACTATGAGACTCATTACTTAAAAAATAAGCCCCCCCACAAATTCCTGCTAGTCTTAGTTTTTAAGGTTCACAACTCTTATTTTGATCTGTATCTACCCCAACATTTGTTAAGGATTTATCCAGATAACTATTACATACAGTACTTTAAATTCTTTAAAAGAGGGTACAATTATTTATTACTTTTTTGCAGTCTCACTTTGTCACCCTCAGTAGAGTGCCGTGCCAGCATAGCTCACAGCAACCTCAAATTCCTGGGCTTAAGCGATTCTGTTGCCTCAGTCTCCAGAGTACCTGGGACTACATGTGCCCACCATGACGCCCAGCTATTTTTAGCAATGGGGTCTTGCTCTGGCTCAGATTGGTTTTGAACCCATGAGCTCAGGCAATCCACCTGCCTCAGCCTCCCAGAGAGCTAGTATTAGAGCCATGAGACGCCACACCTGGCCCAATGGTAAAATTCTTTTGAGACAGAGCCTCAAGCTGTCCCCCTGGGTAGAGTGCCATGGCATCACAGCTCATAGCAACCTCCAACTCCTGGGCTCAAGCGA